ATGGAACAGAGACTTCTAAGTCACATGGGCCAAAAACTGAGAAGCCCAGATATCTTTAAAATCTGTCCTAAACTCTATTGAAAACACTACCCCACGCCTTTTTCTCCCCCTAGTAGTTGTAGTTTGTTTGACCCTAGAAACATAAATTAGTATTTCAAATGACTCCTGAGTGCATTTGCCAACAGTGAATGTCATCTGCTAGCGTGTTGCTCAGTCATCTCACTTGGTTAAACCCTACTTTTCTCTAATCCTGATTACTTTAAATGATCTTGTATTTTACAGACATTTGCCCCCCACTGAACCCCCCTCTCCAGACCTCAGGGCATCACACAAGATACAGTATATCCACAGTACATCATGCAGTATCGGTCCTGACGCAGACCAGCACTAAGCTAATAGCTTCCTTTTATAAGTTCACAGATATTTGCAACCAAGGAAATGCAGTAGATCTCACTTGTCTGGGCTTCAGTAAGACATTTGAAATGGTGCCACATAGTAAATTATTAGCTAAGCAGGAGAAGATGTGACTGGCATATGAAATGTAAAGTGGATGGAGAGCTGCCTGAAAGGGGCACGGTAATTGCTTCAGCTGAAAGGGAAAATGTGAGACTGAGTGGGGTCTACCAGCACAGTTCCTTGAGTTTCTGCCTCAAAAATGATTCGGCTTAACATTTGCATTAATGATCTTGGCACAAAAAGTAAGAGAATGCAAAGGAAATTTGCTGATGATGCAGAATGAGATGCTATCATCAATCCAGAAGAGACCGGAATATCACACAGAAAGATTATAATGACCTTGAGGACTGAAGTAATGGAGGACTGGAGAAGAGATTTGATCCAGTAGTGCAGACTGTACAACTGCACCATGGGGGAAAACAGAAAACAAGAAGAGCCACTGTGGGAGGCCATCAGCTGGAAATGTCTGGGGCAGAGAAAGATCTGTGCTGCAAATCACAAGGTTGCGATGAGACCCCAGTGTCATACCATGTGAGAAGAGAAAACAGCAA